CCCTTCGTAAGAGTTGCTTGGTGAAGATTGTGCAATAAAGATGCCTCAATCGAGTTTCATGTATTTAGATTCCTTGGAATGATTCCTCACTGACGATTTCTTTGCCAGGACTCCTTGATCCGAATTCCTTACTACGGGTTCCTTTAACACAGATTACTCATGAAGCACTCCTTCATACAGGTTCCTTAACACAGATTCCGTCGCACATGTTCCTTACTGCAGATTCCTTGCGAAGGAGGATTTCTCAACGAGGATTCCTCAGTGAGGATTCGTTATAGTGAGGATTCTTCAATGCACGCTCCTCACCGAGGATTCCTTAGGGTTCATACATGGAGGTTCCTTAATCTAGATGTATGAACCAGGATTACATAACGCATATTCTTTGTTTAAAGACACTTTAGTGAGGATCCCACCGCATGGGTTTATTGGTAAAGTTCCCAGACTAAGGATTCCTGAGTGAAGAGTCCTGGGCGATGGTTCCTGAGTGAGGAAGCCCCAATAAGGATTCGTCAATGCGCATTCCTCAATGCAGATCTCTGAATGCAAATTCCTTAGCACATAGCTATTGCGAAAGATTCATTCGCAAATGTCCTCGAGTGCAGGTTTCTTGATACAAGTTTCTTGATGCAGGCTGCTGTAATACATATTCCTTAATAGCGACTCTTTAATAAGCATCCCTGAGTGCAGACTCCTTGCTAAGGATTCCTTGGTACTGGTTCCGGGGTAGGGATTCTCCAGCAAGGCGCCTTTTATCAAGGATTGTTTTGTAAATATTCTCTCGTACAGATTCCTGATTGAATTCTCCTTAGTAATTCTTCCCGTCTACGGAGTCCTTCGTGAAGTTTCCTTACTACGAACTCCACTGTAAATATTCAATACTAAGGACCCCTTACTCACGATTCCTGATTCAGGCTTCCTCGAAACTCCCGACGAAGGATCTCTTATAACAGGTTCTTTATCGAGGATCCCTCAGCAACGATATCCCATGCGGATTCCCCATGGAGATTCCTCGCTAACCTCGAGAAAATCCTTCGCAAAAGGATGTTTTTTGGTTGTTTTAGAACATCCCTTACTAAGGATTTCTGAGTGAAGGTTCCTCCGCCAGAATCCACCAGTGATGGTTATTCAATCAGGGTTCTCTAGTCATGTGAAGATTATTCAATACCAAGCAGCGCCTAAAGATGCCAGGCAATAGCAAGAGCAGGACAATCCATTGCTTAGCACCGCCAGCCACGACCCACCAATTCAAGGCAATGCCAAGCACGAATAACCAATGCCGATAACCTCAAACTAATGCCAAGCAGCGCCATGGATCACCAAACAATTCCAAACAACGCCAATCACGACCAACCTACGGATTCCTTCGTGAAGTTCCTTTACTACGAACTCCTATGTAAGTGTTCAATACTAAGGACCCTTTAATCACGATTCCTGATT